CAGGAAGCATCCTGACCAGATGCCTGAGCCACCTCAACTGGCTCCTCTCGATGTGGAGGAGCAGCGAATCTACACCGAGCCCCTACCGGATGACTGAGCTTCTCACCCTATCTCTAAGGGAGAGCCCAGCCACTCTGCGGAGAAAACTCATTTTGGCCGCTTGTATCCGCGATCTCGTTCTTTCGGTCACTACCCAAAGCTCATGACCATAGGTGAGGGTAGGAACGTAGATCGACCGGTAAATCGAGAGCTTTGCCTTCTGACTCAGCTCTCTCTTCACCACGACAGACCGGTACAACGCCCGCATCACTGCAGATGCAGCACCAATCCACCTATCGATCTCACGCTCCAGTTTTCCCTCACTCGTGAACAAGACCCTGAGGTACTTAAACTCCTCCACTTGGGGCAGGACCTCATCCCTGACCCGGAGAAGGCATTCTACCATTTTCCGAATCAAGACCATGGTCTCAGATTTAGAGGAGCTGATTCTCATCCCAGCTGCTTCACACTTGGCTGCGAACCGCTCCAGCGAAAGCTGAAGATCACGTCCTGATGAAGCCAACAGGACCACATCAGCTGCAAAAAGCAGAGACCTGATTCTCAGGCCACCAAAACGGATGCCGTCCACACCTTGGCTGCACCTAGGAATCCTGTCCATAAAGGTTATGAACAGAATCGGTCACAAAGGGCAGCCTTGGCGAAGTCCAACTCTCACTGGGAACGAGCCCGACTTACTGCCGGCAATGCGGACCAAGCTCTGACGCCGGTCATACAGGGACTTAACAGCCCGTATCAGAGGGCCAGGTGCCACATACTCCTGGAGTACCCCCACAGGGCCCCACAGGGCCCCCCAAGGGACGCGGTCAAACGCCTTCTCCAAATCCACAAAACACATGTAGACTGATTGGGCAAATTCCCACACACCCTCCAGGATCCCCCTAAGGGTATAGAGCTGGTCCAGTGTTCCACGGCCAGGATGAAAACCACATTGCTCCTCCTGAATCTGAGGCTCAACAAGCTAATGGACCCTCCTCTCCAGAACCCCTGAATAGACCTTATCAGCCTCAGGAGGGGAAAGCAGTGCGCTACCAACACTATCTATAGTGGGGATGATGTGCTGCTGACTGGGGACTTTGAGTTGGGATCTCAAATCTCTGGTGCTGAGGTCACTGAGGTGGTTAAAAAGCTCCTCTGTGGCAAGGCTCCGGGGTGGATGAGATCCGCCCGAAGTTCCTTAAGGCTCTGGATGTTGTGGGGCTGTGTTGGCTGACGCGGCTCTGCAATATCGCGTGGACATCGGGGGCAGCTCAACTGGACTGGCAGACCGTGGTGGTGGTCCCCTTATTTAAAAAGGGGGACCGCAAGGTGTGTTCCAACTACAGGGGGATCACACTCCTGAGCCTTCCTGGTAAGGTCTATTCAGGGGTTCTGGTGAGGAGGGTCCGTCGGGTTGTTTTCTAAAGTAGAATTTGTAAAAGGATCTAAATCTAGTTTTTCATTTTCCAAACCGAACAAAGTCCTCCTCTCCTCTATTAATGTTTTCATGGGAAATGCATCGTTTGATAAATCAACATTCTTGCAACGAGTTGCATAGCCCTGGCTTCACCACTTAATAACTGGGCACATCTGTGCTGCTGAGGTTCTTGCATTTTCAACTGCTGAGTTATATCCATGCGCCATGCAGCAGCGGGTTACAGCAGTGCTTTGTCGTAATGTTGTCCCAAGTCTAAATCAGCTCCTGCAAATACTCCGTGTCACTTCTTACTTTTTATTTGCAGTCAATATGATTATTGAGCTCAACGAGAATAATTGGTATCATTATTGAGTCATCTGTGAACAAAATGCTACTAGGTCCCATTCACTTCCATTGTTTGTGCTAGGCAAAAGCAGATGGACGGCTACCAGACCAGGACAATGTGCTGGTTACAAAATGCTTTTTCTCATTAATCTAATACTGGGGTATGTGATAATAGACAAAATTTAACTTTGAAGTGGAATATCAGGTCTTTTAAAGAAGCCAAGCATTTTTATTTCATCCATTATCAGTGTGCATTTTACAACGACAAATAGAATCAATAGGATGGTGCACATAACTTTTTTGTGAATTTAAAAGCAGACTAAAACTGTGAAAAGACTACTGGTCTTCACCGGGGTTGCAAGGAGCTGCTGGATAAGAGGCTTAGGACACCTTGGACAGGTCTCCAGTCCATCACAGAGATGCGCAGAAACAACCAGTCACACCTAGATTCAATTTAGAGTCTCTAGTCAACCTGACATGCCTGTTTTTGGTCTGTGGGAAGAAGCCATATCAACTTTTGAAGGGATTAAAATAAGTTTTTAATCTTTGAATGTTTTAACAACATTGCAACAAGAATTGGTCCTCATAGGAGTTTTAAACAAAGTACCCTGGCTGCAGCATCTGTGAGCATAGAGACCCAAGAAATGAACATTACTAGGTGTAGAAAATCAAATGTCATCAACGGCTGAGACCTCTCCCTGCCTGGCAGCTCAGCTTTTGCTTTTCACTGTCCTTTCTGTAAAGGACTCCAAGACTGGCAGGATGCTTGTTGTTTCTCAGATGGAGGGCTGACACACACACACACACACACTAACATACACACACATCCGTCCTCAAGCATCACGTCAGCTGGTGCTGAGTAAATCAGCTCTGACAATAACACCTCCCTTGGGTCCCACACATCTCAGCTACAATTCAGACCTAATGGAGCAGCAACGCAAGGGGGAGGCTGGATAGTGTGTGTGCGTGCGTGTGTGTGTGTGCGTGTGTGTGTGCGTGCGTGTGTGTGTGTGTGTGTGTGTGTGTGTGCGTGTGTGTGTGCGTGCGTGTGTGTGTGTGTGTGTGTGTGTGTGTGTGTGTGTGTGTGTGTGTGTGTGTGTGTGTGTGTGTGTGTGTGTGTGTGTGTGTGTAAGCACACATGCAATTGTATGCAAACAGGAGGCAGAGGGCCTGATCTTTTCTTGTACCCCTTGAAGGAGATGGAGGATGTTAGGAGAGAGGAGGAAGAGGAGCATAGATGATCCATTCAGATGTGGCTGCGCATTAACTTAATCACATTCTGGGATGAAAAAATAGACAAATATGAAAGTTAAAAGTAGATTTTGCATAAATATAAACTAAAGCGTGTAATAAGACATTCAAAGCTTTCAAAAACGGAGTGGATGTGACATCCTGATGCTGCAAACAAACAGCAAACGCAGCACTGACCAACACCAAGACTTTTGTTTATGTTGTAGATTGATGGCATCCACAGCTGCATTAGAGCAATCTAACTAATCAACATGGTCATTAGCGCGTGTTTGCACTGACAACTTTAATCAAATCCATCAGCGCTCCACCTTCCTATTCCTCCACGCATGCTGCATAATTATTTCTTCATTTGGTGCTCAGACAGGAATGCAATACCCAGTAATCTGTCTGCAAAGGCTGACTGAAATGCATTCAGGAACATTCATGTTAGAAACGTATTGGCTAATGTATCACGTAGCTCTTCCTCACACTGCCACAGTGTGGATGTTTGTCATTTTTAATGAAATCTTCGATGCACGCTTTACATGGGCATTAACCGGGAATAGTGTTCAGGAAATGTTTAGATTTTTTATCCTGTAAGTTTGCAACAGAAGCTGTAAAGTTGTTCCTTCATTTATTTTAATAACTTATTTGAATGCATAAGACTGTGGTATTATAAAGTGTTTTATTTTGAAATCGCTTGGTGTTGTTCCACACTTTCATAAATGTCACATTAATAAAAATAAAGAATCGCAGCCATTTTTTGCGCATGTATTAATTTTATGCTAATTTAATTACTTCTCACTGGACCAGCTGTGCATCTGAGTAATCACTGCAGCACTAATTGTTTCTATGAGTAATAAATTCTCAGTTTACAGAGATGTTAAATTAAACAGTCTATTTTCTACAGCCCAGCAGTCGCTTTGAGAAAAAATGTCAATTATTTCCAATCATTTTTACATCAGATTTTTTGGCTGGTTAGTGTCTGACCATGCAGGATGCTTCCTCGCAGTGGGACAATCACCCTGTTTCTCATTAGAAGCCTCGGCTCTGCAAAGGGTCGTCTTGGGGCTTTTTGACCTCTATGAGGTGTTAACAGCTCCCCAGGGGAGGCTGTCTAGCTCTCACATAACCCTCAACCTCTGCTGCCCACAAACGCAACACTCACCAAACCACTCAGACTCACAGATGGCCGCTGCACCGGCAGCCAGCCATCACACTTTTCAATTATCACAGCGTTGGAGGATAACCATTGCTCAGCTGTCACCTCTCGGTAGCGTGGCAAATGGCAGAACCAAAGAGGAAAGAATTCCTGCATCCAGAAGATCCCAGAGAGTTCTGCTAATTGAAAAGAAGGCAGTTTTACAGCTAAACTGTGGAAGCATCAAAGAGGGTCCTCCTGGTTCAGTCTGCTCTGATCTCAGGACGAGGGAGGTGCTGAATCACTTAGCAGAATTGTTGCTTTGATGGAGCTTTCAAGAGACAAAGCAGAACGAGGCTGTCTGAAGAGGAAGGAATGGAGCAGAGGTCCTGATTAGACAGCTTTTTGTGTCATCACCTAAATGATTTTTTTGTTGTAATCAGAGGAGAAATAGAAAAAAAGTTATATAATAAAATGCACCTCTGCTTTAAAACCTGCAGGTGTTTTGCTGGCTGCATATTGGCTGAATATGCATCACTTAAAAATTAGAGAAGTTAAATGTTTTCTACACATCAAATTTTGCTTGTAAAACAGTTTTTTATATTGCACCATATTTAAAATGAGCTAAATTTCCATGCAGCAAAACAGCCACTCTGTGTTATTTGTGTTCTGTTTCTGTTGTTTTTACAGGAAATTAATAAATGAGACATTATAACTTCTTTTCTTATGTTATAACAGTATAATATGATTGATACAAATTATGTTCATTTCACAAACTCCCTCTCACATAAGGCAATTTTGGCAGTTTTATTCTTGACATTTTTAGTACCTCCCAGAATGAGTCGTTTCAGGGTTCTACAAGCTGGAGCTGGCCACACCCACCCATCCCCCACTCAGGCTGCTACAAGCTGAAAAGCTCAGATGTCTGGGAGGGGATCAGAGTAGAGCCATTGCTCCTCCAGCAGCTGTCCTCTAGGTGAGAGGTGGTTTTGTCCTACTTAGCCTGTTTGTGACATCACAAATGGGGACTTGTGTCTATAAACAGGCTTGAAACAGCCAATTCCTAAAATCATACATTGACAGGAAATAGATGGATGGGGTATTTTTACGTTTGGAGTGATCATAGAAGCAGCAGAGTCCCACATGGCAACACAAAAGGATGTAAAAGGTGAGTTTTGCATAATATGTCCTCTTTAATAGCTAATTAAATTTAATAGCTCAGTGAAATTCATATCCATGATGCTCCTTCATTGTGTATTCACAAAATATAACATGCTGTCATGTTCCTGGGCAGAGGTGAGTCACACCTTCTCCTCTCACCAGACTCTGAGCTAATTCTCCACAGGTGAGGAGCAGGGGGAGCGGCAGCTGCAGGAGATTTCCCAATCAGGGACGCGGGTTCAAAAGGAGGATGGAGACACATCACTTTGCCGGATGATTGCACCAGTTTAGGTAGCACCAGCCACTCGACTCTGAACTTTGATCTTGTTAATTCGTGTTTTGACTCGCCTTCGACTAGTGGATTTATGACCTTGGATTGTATTTTGGATTTGGAATTGGATTATCCCTTACGCCTGTTTTTGTCTCGCTCAGGATCATCTCATCATCTACTCACCCTCGCTGTCTTCGTTTTCTGGAACATACTCATCACGTCCCATCCTCCTCCGCCGTTCCTGTTTGGCTTTCCCTCTGCTACCTCACCCCTCCTGGATCTCTCATCCTCTGCCCAGCGTCCTCCCGGCTTCCCCTCCTCTACTGATTAACCTGAGCACCTCAGAGACTTGAGCCGTATTGCTCATCCCACAGGACTTCCCTGTGCGGTTTCAGTTCCCGTTTTTATAATAAAGACATTTTACTTTCCTGCTTTGGACTACGTGTGCTGATTCTGCATGTCTTGGGTTAGACACTTACCTCGAGCCATGACAGAATCATCCGGCCACACATCTAATCCAGCGGAGTCAGCACTCGCGGATCTGGCTACCCGGATGTCCCAACAAGAGCAGACACTTCCCGTCCTCATGGAGCAGCTGAATATCACCAACCAACGTTATCAACGTTTGGAGACCGTCCTGCAGCAGCTTCAGGAGCAGCTCTCCTCTACAGCCTCGGGTTCCGTCCCCGCTCCAGCGACAGCCGCCGCTCCGGCGTTCGGAACAGAACCACACGCACACGCCTCGGGAGGTGTGGTTTCACCTGGACCGGAGGCGCTCGGCTCTCCAGAAATCACCCACTTCCGTTCGGCTCCTCCTCGTCAATGTCCGACCTTCTCCGGTGAATTCGAGGATTGCTTTGGGTTTCTGCTACAGTGCCGCTTAGCGTTTGAAGACTCCCCGAGGTCTTTTCCTACTGACTCAATGAAGATCTCGTTTATTGTTGGACTACTTAGAGGCAAGGCGCTTCGGTGGGCGGAGGCTAAGAGCAGAAATCCTAATTTCCTGTCTGGTTCTTACCCAGACTTTCTGGAGGATTTTAAACTGACTTTTTGCAGTTCAGAGACCACCACTGACATCAGAAAAAGACTGTTGCACCTCTCGAAGGGAAGAAGGTCAGTGGCTGACATGTCTCTGGAGTTTAGGACCTTGGCTGCAATGACATCATGGGGAGACGATGCCCTTAAAGCAGCATTCATTGAAGCGCTGAACGATCGGGTAAGGAACCAGCTGGCTCTGTGCCCCGAGCCATCAACCCTGGACGGACTGATCTCATTATGCATCTCTATCGACAAGAGACACAGGGAGCTTCAGAAGACACCATTCAGGGATCTGTCACCACCTGTAGCACATCGTCCATCCCATAGGTCTCCTCCTCTGGACTCACCCGAGGAGCCCATGCAGGTGAGACGTACCCACCTTACTCCAGAGGAGCGCCAACATCGTTACAGTAAAGGGTTGTGCCTTTACTGTGGAAAACCAGGACACATGGTGCACACTTGCCCTGCGGCGTCAAAAGGGCGTGCCCACCAGTAGTTCCGGGAGTTCTGGTGGGCAGTCATTCAGGTAAAGAGACCTCCCGTTTTCTTATTGACTGTGCTTTGACTGTTAACAGTCGTCGCCACCGGACAACTGCTCTAGTAGACTCAGGATGTGAACAGTCTTTGGTGGACCCTCAACTGGTGCGGGATTGGGGACTGTCTACTGTTCCACTGCCGGAACCTTTAACAGTGTCCTCCCTGGATGGGAGGCCCCTGGCCACAATCACCCACCGGACCCAACCACTCCAGCTCCAGGTCTCAGGTAACCACACGGAGATGATCTCATTATTTGTGTTTCCCTCCCCGCAGAACCAAGTAGTTCTAGGCCATTCCTGGCTTAGGGTACACAACCCGTGTTTGGACTGGAGATCAAGCCGTGTGGAGACCTGGAGTCCGGAGTGTCATCTTACCTGCCTGACCTCTGCTTCCTCTGGATCCAAGGACTCTGAAAAGACTCTTGTGGAGCCGCCCGATCTCACCCAGGTACCAAGTGAGTACCATGACTTGCAGCAAGTGTTCAGTAGAGATCAAGCAGCCACGTTGCCACCTCACCGTCCATTTGACATTGGAATAGACCTGTTGCCAGGAGCTCCGCTCCCAACCAGCTGCCTCTACAGTCTGTCCAAACCTGAACAGGACAGTATGAGGAAATACATTACAGAGGCCCTGGCCAATGGCATAATCAGGCCATCCACCTCGCCTCTGGGAGCTGGGTTTTTCTTCGTGGCCAAGAAGGACGGGTCGCTTCGCCCTTGTATTGATTACAGGGGTTTAAATCAAATAACGGTGAAGGACAAGTACCCGCTCCCTCTACTCTCATCAACCTTTGAACCTGTGCAAGATGCCACTGTTTTTACGCGGTTGGATCTCCGCAATGCATATCACCTGGTCAGAGTCCGCCAAGGTGACGAATGGAAGACAGCTTTTAAGACACCCCTGGGGCACTTTGAATATTTGGTGATGCCCTTTGGCCTCACTAATGCTCCAGCGGTGTTTCAGAGACTCGTGAACTCAGTGTTGGGGGACTACATTAATGACTTTGTATCTGTATATCTTGATGATATTTTGATTTTTTTCTAGGTCCATTGATCAACACCAGAAACATGTTCGGATGGTACTCCAACGGCTGTTGGAGAACAGACTATTTGTAAAAGCCGAAAAATGTGAATTTCATGTTTCAGTAGTTAAGTTTCTTGGTTTTGTTTTAGAAAGTGGACGGCTGAGGGCGGACCCAGACAAGGTCCAAGCAGTGACTGAGTGGCCTACCCCTGCCACCAGGAAACAACTGCAGCGGTTTCTTGGCTTTGCAAACTTTTACAGACGGTTTATCCGCAATTACAGCCAGACCGCAGCCCCTCTGACAGCTCTAACCTCTGTTGTTAAGCCCTTTTCCTGGTCTCCAGAAGCCGAAGCTGCATTTAGGACTCTGAAGAGGAGGTTCACCGAGGCCCCAGTCCTCTCCAGACCAGACCCCAAGCAGCAGTTCACTGTGGAGGTGGACGCCTCTGACACCGGGGTTGGCTCAGTCCTCTCTCAGGTATCCCCAGAAGACCACAAACTTCATCCATGTGCCTTCTTCTCACGGCGCTTGACACCCACCGAGAGCAGGTATGACGTGGGGGACAGGGAGTTACTGGCAGTAAAACTGGCTTTGGAGGAGTGGAGACATTGGCTGGAGGGGGCTGAACTACCATTTATCATTTGGACTGATCATAAAAACCTGATCTATCTCAAGGAGGCAAAGAGACTGAACCCTCGACAGTATAGGTGGTCTTTGTTCTTCTCCCGCTTTAACTTTGTTTTGTCCTATAGACCAGGATCAAAGAACACAAAGCCTGACGCTCTGTCTCGCCAGCACTCCTCTGAAGATGAGACGGCTCCTAGCACCATCTTGCCTGCCTCCTGCATCGTTGCTGGAGTAACATGGCCCATAAGAGACCAGGTCCTGGAGGGCCTTAAGGTGGATCCTGGCCCAGGTAACGGACCCTCCAACAGACTGTTTGTTCCCCAGGCACTACGAGGAAAGGTTATTCACTGGGCTCACACCGGGAGGTTCTCAATCCACCCTGGAGTAGGACGTACTGTGGCTCTGATCAGGCGATCTTTCTGGTGGCCCTCCCTCTACAGAGACGTGAAGGAGTATGTGTCGGCCTGCCACGTCTGTGCCCAACAAAGAGGTACCAATCAGTCTCCAGCAGGCCTACTCTGTTCCCTACCAGTGCCGTCCCGTCCTTGGTCCCATATTGCCTTGGACTTTGTTTGTGGGTTGCCACCTTCGCATGGTTTTAGTGTCATTTTAACTGTTGTGGACAGGTTCTCCAAAGCCTGTCATCTGGTGCCGTTAAAGGCTCTCCCTACATCTGCCGTCACGGCCCAGCTTTTAATTAAACATGTCTTTCGTCTGCATGGGATCCCAACAGAGATCCTCTCTGACCGAGGCCCCCAGTTCGTGTCTCGTGTCTGGAGGGAGTTTGCCACCGCCTTGGGAGCCCAGGTGGCTCTGACCTCGGGGTTTCATCCGCAGACCAACGGACAATGCGAGCGGATGAACCAAGAGTTGGGTGCCATGCTTCGCTGCGTCTGCGCCACCAACCCATCCACCTGGAGTGAGCATTTGGCTTGGGTCGAATATGCCCATAATAGCCATGTCTCCTCCGCCACAGGTCAGTCTCCCTTCGAGTCCTCCCTCGGATATCAGCCCTCTCTGTTCCCCCTTCATACAGATGCCACCATCACCACTCCTCAGTTCCTTCGTCGGGCCCGCCGCACTTGGATCACCACGAGGTCGGCTCTTCAGCGGACCGCGGAAAGGAATCAGCGACTGGCTGACCGACACCGTCGTCCTGCTCCCACCTACTCTCCCGGTCAAATGGTCTGGTTGTCGTCCAAGGATGTCCCGCTGAAGGCGACCACCAGGAAGTTCTCTCCTAGGTTCCTTGGTCCCTTCAAGGTCGCGGCGGTCCCTAGTCCGACGACCGTGCGGTTGGAACTCCCGTCGTCTCTTCGGATCCATCCTGTGTTCCATGTCTCCCTGATCAAACCCGTCGTTTCCAGCCCTCTGTGCCCGGTTCCGGCTCCGCCTCCTCCTGCTCAGCTCTACAAAGGGGGGCTGGTATACAAGGTGCGGCGCATCCTCGACTCTCGCCCCCGTGGTCGGGGTCTTCAATATTTGGTGGACTGGGAGGGGTACGGCCCGGAGGAACGCTCCTGGATTCCCCGGTCCAACATCGAGGACCCCTCTCTCATCTCGGACTTCGAGGCCTCCAGATCCGGTGCTAGGACGCCGGGGGGCGTCCGTTGAGGGGGGGGCACTGTCATGTTCCTGGGCAGAGGTGAGTCACACCTTCTCCTCTCACCAGACTCTGAGCTAATTCTCCACAGGTGAGGAGAAGGGGGAGCGGCAGCTGCAGGAGATTTCCCAATCAGGGACGCGGGTTCAAAAGGAGGATGGAGACACATCACTTTGCCGGATGATTGCACCAGTTTAGGTAGCACCAGCCACTCGACTCTGAACTTTGATCTTGTTAATTCGTGTTTTGACTCGCCTTCGACTAGTGGATTTATGACCTTGGATTGTATTTTGGATTTGGAATTGGATTATCCCTTACGCCTGTTTTTGTCTCGCTCAGGATCATCTCATCATCTACTCACCCTCGCTGTCTTCGTTTTCTGGAACATACTCATCACGTCCCATCCTCCTCCGCCGTTCCTGTTTGGCTTTCCCTCTGCTACCTCACCCCTCCTGGATCTCTCATCCTCTGCCCAGCGTCCTCCCGGCTTCCCCTCCTCTACTGATTAACCTGAGCACCTCAGAGACTCGAGCCGTATTGCTCATCCCACAGGACTTCCCTGTGCGGTTTCAGTTCCCGTTTTTATAATAAAGACATT